AATTAATGATGTATCAAATGCATACATTCTCTAGGGAACCAATTAATTAAAGAAAAGGAGTAAATTAATCTTTCTGTTAAAAATTGACTTTATGACTTTGGGTTTATTTACATAATTTACTGGCCCCCTGGCCGCTCACTGGCAGCTACACAAACATTCACTAAATAGACTTTAGTGAGGACCTACTATGCACCAGACCCTAGGCTAAGGGTTATTTGCCTCTGCTTCAATAAAACCTCCGAAAAGAGGCCTTACTTGACCACACCAGCTAAAATAGCACCCACTCTCACTTTCTCTTCCCACAACTTGATGTATTTTTCTTCAGTCTTATTCCTGATAAATATCACACTTATTGTTTACTTGTTTGTCTTTCTCCTCTAGAATGTAAACTCCATAAAACCAGTACCAGTTGTCATTCAGTTGATGCTGACTCATGGTGATTCCATGTGTGTCAGAGTAGATCTGTGTTCTATAGGTTGTTCAATGACTGAGTCTTTTGGAAGTAGAGCACCAGGTCTTTCTGTACAGGTGCCTCTGGGCAGACTTGAACCTCCAACCTTCACTCAGCAGCTAGCATGTTAACTGTTTGCACTACCCAGGGACTCCAATCTCTATAAATTAAATGTTTGTCTCTGGACCCCCTAGCATTAGAACATGTCTAGGACATGATACACTCAGTAAATACCTGTTGGATGAATGGGTCAGTCAGTGACAGCAGATAATTAAAAATGTACTCAAGGAAGAATTATAATACATGTTCATCCTCCACTATTGCCACTTGGTCCAAGCCACTTGCATCAACTCTCTGGCTGTTGGCTTTCCCACTGCCTCCTGCTTCGAATCTTTCCTTGACTAAGTTCTCTGTAGACACTAATCTGCATGATCTTTTACAAATGTAAGTCACTGAACAATTTGTGTAGAAATTGTTGAATAGGAACCTATTTTGCTGTGTCAACTTTCACTGAAAAAAATAAAAGACTAAGTTTTTTAAAAAGGTAAGTCAAGATATATCATTCCCTTCTTATAACCCACAAATGGTTTCACATCAAAGAATAAAATCCAAGCTTCCTTCATGGCCTATAAATCCTTACATGATCTGCCCTGCCTGCCTCTCCAATATCATTCATGATCACTCTGGCCTTCCTTCTGCCCTCCATACATGCCAAGCTCTCTACAAGGGCCTTTATAACTTTGCTTCCTCTGCCTTGGATGTTCTTTTTCTCTCCATCCCTACTCCTGCATCCTTCATATCATTAAAGTCTCAGTTTCAGATAACTTGATATAAATTAGTGCCTTCCACATTTTCTTTTTCTTATGGTGCTTATCACCTCTGACAACAACAATGCAATGCCATCAACTCATAGCGACCCCTCCTTGGTTTCCGAGGTGGTATCACTCTGGAAGTAGATTGCCCAAACTTCCTTCCAAGGAGTGGCTGGTGGGTTTGAACTTCCAGCCTTCCGGTTAGTACACATATTTATTTATGAGTTTATAATCTGTCTACCCTTTCTCTTCTCCCCCAACCCACATATACACACACTAGAATGAAACCTCTGTAAGATCTAAGACTTTGTCTGTCTGTTCATCACTATATGCCCAGTGCTTAGAGCAGTTCCTGGAACTTAGTAAGTGCTCAGTAAATATGTAGTGAATGGATGACTAACTGAATGGATTGATGGGTGATGATGGATGGATGGATGGATGGATGGATGGATGGATGGGTGAGGGGGTATACGGATAGACAGATTGATGGGTAAATAGAATGCTGTGGGAGCCTTGGAGAGGGACACACTGTGCTATCACTTTATTTTTATAGGTCATAACATGGAAATATATTTTGTAACCTCAAGTTTTTGCTTTTATGAGATAGCAATATATATATTACTCTACTTTTATTTCATTCTTATTACATGCTGTAATTAATTATTTATTTGTGGAATGTTTTTTTAATGTCCATCTCCTCATGTAGACTGTAAGCTCCATAAAAGTGAGCATGATGTCTATTTCCACATTGCTGTCTCCCTGAGTCCTAGCATTATGTCAGACACATGGAAAGCTCAAACCATTGTCATTAGATGAACCAGTCGTCAGGGTACAGATTCTTTTCTAAAAACTTCCAAATGAGGGAACAAGAAAGAAAATGCATGTGTGTGCATGCATGTACATTTTAAAGCAGGATACACAACACATATTTTTAAAGAGAAATTTAAATTTTCCAAATTTCACAATTGTAAACACATAATTCCACAGTTCAGTAACTGTGAATTCAGAGTTGAGTCATGCATTCTATTCTGACATCAACTTCCCTTGTGAGTTTGGGTCAGTTATTCATGTACACTGGGTTCCTGTCTAACCACCACCTTACATGAGCTACCTTGCAAGAATTAACAAGCTAATATTTGCTTGACACATGGAACAGATTCCTATATAAAGTCATGATGAACAACAAGAGTATAAAATACAATTTCCAAACCTTTAATTCATTGGTTTCACTTAACTTTATAATGGCTATATATATTTTTCAGCTACTAGAATATTCTTCTCACTCCTCTTGGTCCCCATGCCCTGAAAAGTTAGGCTGTATGAAGCCTACATCCTTGAGGTTCTCTCTGCACTCTCCTTCGGAGCTCCCACTTACCCATCCCCTCATTCAATCAGTAGGGATAAGGTTAGAGATACCACAATGAACTATACACTATCTCTGCTATTCATATGATAAACTCATATACCTCCATTTCTGGCCCTGATATCCTCTTCAGAGTCTAATCTCCACCATTTACATCTACTTGCTGAACCCTTTCAACTCAACATAGTTGAAATTAAGCAGTTCAGTATTTGCTCTGACTGCCGTCTTTTTAGGAGTCCCTTCCTTAGTGATACTGCCTCAGCAACCCAAGGAGGGGTCGCTATGAGTCGGGTCTGACTCAACGGCACATAACAACAAATATGGTGCAAATGGTTAAGCACTCAACTACTAGCTGAAAGTTTAGTGGATCGAACCCACTCAGAGGAACCTCAGAAGATAGAAAGATAGGCCTAGAGAGCTGCTTCCAAAAGGTCACAGCCTTGAAAACCCTATGAGGCACAGTTCTACTCTGTGCATATGGTGCCATCATAAGTTGGAACTGACTGGGTGGCAAACAACAATGACAAGACTTTTCTTGGCATGGCACTATTACTTTTCTCAGGCATCCAAACCCCAAACCTGCAATTATCTTTGGTACCAACCTCTCTATTAATTTCATGTACCCAATCACCAAGAAAACCTTTGTTTAGTCATGAACAATAATCACTAACTATTTCTTCTGCCACCTCCTTAGCCTAGGCTCTCATCTTATACCAAGACTATTACAATCACCTCAAAATTGACATTTTTATCTATGGCCTCTCTCTGCATTTAGTCTTTTTCCATATAAAAGATCTGACCTATCTAAAACCAACTCTCTCTCTCTCTCTCTCTCTTTCATGTTTACTAATCATACCACATACCTGGTGTTAGCTTCAGCTTATTAACTTTTCAAGCCATTTTTCTATCTCAATTAGATTGCAAGTTTCTTGAGGGTAAGAGCTCTGTCATAAATAGTACAATAGGCTCAGCAAATAAATGGGTAATAAATATCTGACGTTTGATATGCTGAATTCAGCACTACTTGTTCATCCAAAATTATTTTTATTGTTTTAAGAACTTACATGAGATAAATAAGAAAAAAGAGGTAGAAGATTTCTAAAGCATCATTAAGAGACAGTATCATTGCACAAAAATCAGTTATTTTACAAAGACTTTGGTTTATTTAATTCAGAAGAAGGGGGAAATGTCAAATCATTTTTTTTATCAGAATTGGTCAGGCAATTCAATCTTAGGGTAGAAAGAGAAGCCTCAGACAGAAAAACCTGTCAAAGCAATACCTCAGCAAAACATGAAACTCATCTCCATGTATAGCTAAAAATACAAATACAAATTACCTGCTAACTGCCTGTCATATTTCACACATGATGTTGCTGTTGTTATTAGCTGTCATTGAGTCAGCTCCCAACTCATGGCAGCCCCCCTCAAAAAAAAAAAACCTCATTGCCACTGAGTTAATTTCAACTCACAGTGACCCTCGTGTTAGGTTTCCAAGACTGTAAATCTTTATGGAAGTAGATAACTCCATCTTCCTTGCACAGAGTGGCTGGTGGGTTTTGAACTGCTGACTTCCTGGTTAGCAGCCAAATGCCTTAACCATTATGCTACCAGAGCTCCTTGCATGGCAACCACATACATAATAAATTCGAACCATTGTTATCCAAAGGGTTTTCATTGGCTGATTTTTGGAAGTAGATCTCCAGGCCTTCGTCCTAGTCTCTCTTAGTCTGGAAGCTCTGCTGAGATCTGTTCAGCATCACAGCAACACACAAGTGATCTAAGACAAGCGGTGGCTGCACTTGAGGTGCCTTGGCTGGGAGATCAAACCAAGGTCTCAACATGGAAGGCAAGAATTTTAACACTGAGCCACCACTACCATCTCCTATATAATAGGCATTTAATAATTGTTTGCTGAATTAATTAATAAGTAAATAAATGATGGATAGAAAAGATTTTGAGGGGAACAAAATATTTAGAGTGATTCTTAATTTTTTTTTTGAGGATTATCATTTTCCTACCAAATTCTCCCTTTCTATTCTTTCTCAGAGATATACAAGATAGACAGATTGCTAACATGACCTAACACAGCATGTCCTATACTTTCTTGTACTATGGACTAGCTTTCAACAATGGTATAAAATAAATCAGGTCTATATACAAGGAAAACAAAATCTATTTTGAAATCTAAATTTTAAAAATGTTTCTGTCTTTTTAAGACCTTAATTGTTAACACTAAGGTTCTAGCCTTGTTTCTCATAATTGCTTATATACCAAAAGGTAGCTATGTTTTATTTCTTCAAATTTAATTGAATCCTTAAGGGCAGTCTCTCTGTATCATATAAAAATATTAATTAGCAAAGGATTTGATACTTACATTTCCTTTAGACTTTCTGGGTCCTGCAATAGGAGGCAGTGAAGAGGCTTTCTGACTGCAGAAACAAATTGCAACTTAGAAATGTGAACACTATGTGTAAATATTACATAATGCAAAACAAATTGTTACTCCAACCTGGAAAACAACCATTTACTTATATCTGTTTTTCACAAAAGGTACTGCAGACTTTCCCAGTTTCATAAAAAATACCCAAATTTTCCAATTTCTATTGGAAAAAAAAAAATCTTGAAGCTTTCCTATGCAGTATATTAACTGATTTTTGTAAATAAACTTTGTTGTTGTTGTTGTTTGCCGTCGAGTCGGCCCCGACTCATAGCGACCCCTCCTTGGGTTTCCGAGGCAGTATCACTACGGAAGTAGGATTGCCCAACCTTCCTTCCGAGGAGTGGCTGGTGGGTTTGAATCGCCAGCCTTCTGGTTAGCAGTCAGGTGCCTTAGGTACTATGCTACCAGAGCTCCTAAATAAACTTTAGTACCACCTTAAATTTTTTCATAGGACTCTTATTTGAATTCCAAAATTTTCTACCTGCAGTTCAAGGTAAAACTTTTCTCAGGCTGAGTAATTATTTTACCAGATTGAGTTAACAATGGGAAACTCTGTTTTTGTAAGATCTAATCTGTCTACTTCTGAAAGAAGGCCAGAATGGTAAAACACTGGCATTTATATCCAGGGAGGTTTTAAACTAGGCATTCTCACCAAAAAAAAAAAAAAGAAAGAAAGAAAGAAAGAAACTGTAGGAATAAGCTATTTCCCAAATATCTATTTTATTCTGAAAACATTCTGAAACCCCACTGAACCTTTCAAAAATGAAATATATATATAAATGTAAAGCCTACTAATTTATACAAGAAAGGCCAAAATGAGTTACATTTTGCTTACTACCACTGTAGTAATTGAGCTACACAAAGTAGCTCACAGCAGGTTAATCCACCTCTTTTAATAACTGTGAGATTTATAGTTGCTTATAGAAGCTGGAAGAATTTACCCACTAACATCTGGCACTCACTCATCACAACCATTCTGAGATGGGACTGGGCAACACCCCAAACAGGGAACACAGAAAGGGAGCTAATCTGAGGAATCTGTAGCCTGATTTTTTAAGGCTGTGCAAATTGGGTGTGAGAATTCATGGGCCACATAATTGGGAGGGGTGAAGGAAGACCATGATGCTGCAGGAGTGCTGTTGAATCTTGCTGAGGCCTGAGGTTGACACGTACTAGGACTAGGAGAACCTGCAAAGGCAGCAGGTACTAGGACTAGGAGAACCTGCAAAGGCAGCAGGGCAAGGGGAATACTTCAGACAGTGACACAGAGGGAAATGGCTAACTCCCTGCCCACAGCAGGAAACCTATGGGAGAGCCTGTGAAGAGATGCTTGTGAGGGAAAGACATACAGAGCCCTCCATCTTCACCTCAGGAAAGTTGAGCCCCACTGCTTACATCAGAGTCTGTGACCAGCTAAACCCCCCTTTCCTATGCATGCATATTGAATGCCAGAGATCAAGCATCCAGAAAAGAATCAGCACTGGGAAAAGACCTAAGGATAAGAGTGCCCTCTAGTGACTCTCAAGAGAAGATACCAAGACCACTGCTGTTGGGTCAGTTCTGACTTGTAGTGACCCTATAGGGCAGAATGAAACTACTCCATGGGGTTCCTAGGGCTGTGAGTCTATGTGGAGACAGGCTGCTCATCTTACTCCTACAGAGCAGCTGGTAAGTGCAGGCACTAGCCTTTCATTTGGCAGCCAGGCATTTTGGCACTGTGCCATCAAGATATCCAATCAGAACAAAAAAAGAATGAAAAATTAAATAAATAAATAATAACAAAATGGCCAAGTTCAACCAAAAACAGTAAAACACACAAAATCACAATAGAAAAATAATCAAGTAAAAGCAAAACACGAAGTGGGAATTTCTCCCACAGAAGCCAGACTAATGGAAAGGATTGATAATTTTCAGACAATGGTGCTAAGTAGGTTTAAAGAAAGCAAAAAGGACTAGAAAACAAACTAGCAGATATTAGGAAACAAATGGAGCAAGAAAATGAGAGACACAGCAAGAAAATTTAAGACATTAAAAAAGAAAGAGAACTGGAACTGAAGAAGAAAGTAACTGCATTTTTTTAAAAAAAGCAAGAGAAATGCTCAACAATAGAGTCAAACAGGTAGAAGATACAATGAATGAACTAGAAGCCAAAATAACTGAACTTATCAAATTTTAAGAGAAAAGAACAAAGAAATGCAAACAAATCCAAAAGGGAATATGGGATTCAATTTTAAAAATTAACAGAATTGATGGGGGACTTCTGGTAAGATGGCAGAATAGACAGACAAGCTACACAGATCCTCTTCAACAAAGAAAAGAGAAACCAATTGACACAGATAAAGAAGATAATCCTGGAGCCCTGAGCTTTGAGAGGTAGGATACAGAAGTGGATTAAAGTCCAACTAGTAGAATACCATGAACAAAAACAGTGAATAAGAAGATAAATGAAGCTGCAGACTGTCAGCTATCCTGTTTGAATATTTACAAAGTGATGGTTGGACCTGGGCAGTAACCTAAAAATCAGCCCTGCTCACCAATGACTGCATGGACAACTATACTGGTTGCTGATGATTAAAAAGGGAAACAGCAAAGGAGGAGACAAACTGAGCTAGGGACTTTCAGCTGTCTGAAGGATGCAGCCATTTTGAATATTTACAAGTGGTGCAGCCATTTTGGATATTTGAAGCAGCACTGTTCTGATCCCAGTGACACAAGAATAGGCTCTGCTTGCCAAGGACAAAATGGGCAACCACACTAGAAACTAATGACTGGAAAGGAGTGATATTCCCCTTGTTACTCTAATACCCTACACCCTCTTGGTGAATGGAGGTGTGGCCATGCCCCACCTTTACCCACCTTCTGGACTGGCAGGAATTCCATCCCAGTCTGTGTGCTCTGACTGAACTTGGTTGCCCTGCCATGCTACCCTCCAATGATTTGTTTTATTTGTTTGCTTGTTTTCAAATAATTCTATTTTTCATCCTTTTTATTTTAATTCTTTCTTTTTCCCTTCCCAGGTTCTAGTTTTTGGGTTTTTTCTCTCATACCTTTTCCTGGTTCCTATCTTTTTTCTTTTGTTTGGTTCTTCCCATCCTTTGTTTTACTTTTTGCATTTTTCTCATTTTTTTTTAATATTCTTTCACTATAGATCATTTCTCTTATTTTCCCCTACATAGATACTGTGGATTTATTTATTTATTTTCTTCTGTTTATATTTCATTTGTATTTTTAAAGTATTTCTTTAAATATTTCTCCTCATTTATGGCCTTTCCTTTGTTTCTTCCCCCTCTCTTTTAGATGATTGTTCCTGTGTGTTTATATAGTGTGTTTTTATCCGCTTACTTTTACTTTTTTGATTTTTTTTTTAGTTTTGTTTTTGTCTGACTCAGTGAGAGACAGCAACTATGCCCATATGACCCAACAATACCCTCACCTCTTGCAGCCCCACCTATTGAGTGAGGGCCACAGCTTGCTTCTGCACCAAGTGGCCAATGATAGATAACAACTGTTACAAGCCCAACTCACCTTTAACTGCTCTTCACAACAGTTAACAGAGATCTGTGCACCCACTAATTCTCTAGCACAACCACCAGAAGACAGGTGGTGAGTGCATAAATGCTGCCAACTAGTGAACAGAGGAGCACAGTACCTGCTTACTCAGATATACAAAACAAAACAAAGTAAAAAAAATCTTCAATGAATCACACCAACATACAATCACCAATTAGATATAAATACAGTGATGTCACAATGTCTCAGAGAAAACAGACCATTACACTCCAGACAAAGAAGCAAGATAAAGTAGTAGAAACAAGGGACCAGGACACAGACCCAGAAAACATCTCTGAGGAAGAAATAGCATTGGAACTCTCTGATAAGGAATTCAAAAGTTGTATTAAGGTATCTTCAAAGGATACCTTAGGATACCAAAGGACACAGATCAAGGAAAACAATGATAAAAGTAGGGAAAACACAGGCAAAACTCTAGAACAATTTGGGAAGACAAGATAAGAACAAGATGACAAAATAAAGGAAAAATAAGAAATGATACAAAATCTAAGATAGAACTCCAAAAGATTACTATTAAAATTTCAGAAATAGATAACACATTGAATGACAAAGGGGTAGAATTAAATCAATGGAAGACTAAATTAGTGAAATTGAAGACAAATACCTCAATACTACTTTGGTAAGGGATCAATCAAAACAAACAAACAAAAAAAGATAAAAATAAAATGAAGAATCTCTAAGATTCATGCATGATTCTATCAAGAGGAATAATCTACATATATCATCATTCCAGAACAGAAAGAGACAAATAAAACCCCTCAGAAAATTGTCAACAATTTATTGGAAGAGAATTTCCCTTATATGATGAAAGATGAGAATATATCCATTCAAGAAGTTCAATGAACCTGAAACAGGATAGATCCCAACAGAAAATCACCAAGACCCATCATCATCAAGCTCACCAAAACCAAAGACAAAGAAAAGAATCTTGAAACCAGTATGGGAGAAACAAAAAGTTACCTACAAAGGGCAACCAATAAGACTAAACTCAGAATTCTCAGCAAAAACAAGAGGCTCTTCTTCTTTTCTTCGTCTTCTCCTCTTCTTCCTCTTCTCTTCTTCCTCTTCCTCTTCTTCTCCCTCCTCCTCCTCCTCCTCCTCCTCTTCCTCTTCTTCCTCTTCTTCTTCTTCTGGTGTGTGGCGTGGTCATTGAGTGCAGACGGAGCTCTAACAATTGTGGTCTCCAAATACCACTTTCTGTGAAAGGAATGATACCTCCTTGGAGAGATGGTTGATTCTAGGCCTAGAAAACATACAGAAGGAGTCTGGAAAATCTTGCCTCACCAAAAAGCAAGTAAGCCATCAACAGCCACAGGAGCCTTGTCAGAAGAAAGATCATTCTTTCCTTCCTGAATAATTCAGTCTAAAAATCATTAGGTGGGACCAAACAACATGCACATTCTAATAAGGGCTTCAGGT